GCAAAGCAGTTCCTGGTAAGATGTCACCAAAACTCCCACAGGGAGATCATGGTCAGTGACAGCACTTGTCCACAAGTGAGGAAGCAGGGATTCACCTGCCAGGCACCTGGCAAAGTGCAGAAGGAGCTGGGGGCCATCTTGATGGTGGAGGGAATCAGGTATTCAGAAAGGAGGGACCACAGGGAAGATACTGTCTCTGGGGACCTGGATTGGTTGAAGACTGGGAAGGCATGATTTTGAGAATCATGATTTTATAGACTCTATGTTTGATTCAAGGAGCCCTGGTGGTACATGGAGTTAAGTGCTGGGCTGCTAACGGCAAGGTGAGTGATTTGAATGCACCAGCTGGTCCCTGGGAGAAAGCGACAGCAGTCTGCTCCCGTAGGGTTGACAACCTCGGAGACGTGATGGGACAGTTCTCCTCGGCCCTACAGGGTCCCTAGGAGTCGGATTTGATGGCAGTGAGTCAACGTTTATGGTAATCACGGACTCAGAAGAACTCATAGGATTAATAAAACCCATCCCACCTCCATCCAGTCCACAACCCAACACTATAGAGCTTCTGAGACTAATCTTTACCTCACCTTTCTCTCAGGGAGCGTCTGGTGAATTTGAACCACCAACTTTTGTTAGCAGCCAAAACACTTATTCCGTAGGAAGGATAAAACCTAAATACAGGGAGCAAGAAGAGAGTGAAGACGATTTACTGAGCATGCTCCCTGGTCGGCATTAGAAACAATGCTTGCGGTGCTTTATTCAGAACAACTGTCGGAAGTCTCCCTGTCATTGGGTCCATTCTGACTCATAGAGACCCCATAGGACAGAGTAGAGCTGTCCTTCGTCATCCTGGAGCAAGGCTTCATCTGTCCTCCGCAGAACAGCTGATGGGCTCGAACTGCTGACTTGGTGCAGCTGCCAGTTCCTTTTCCAGAGAAGACACTGAGGAATCAACGTTGGTTCAGGTTCATGAGCACAAAGCAAGGAATACTGTGTTGTATCAGGTTACCTCTCATTGGTAGCGATCAGAGTGAGTTCGTCCCGCTGGAATAAGATGGAGCGGGGAAGGGTACCATCACGGAGAGCCTTGCATAGAAGAGCTTCCAGGTGCTTCTGTGCTAAACCTGAACAATGATCAAGAAACTGGAAAGACATAATCTACCAACATCAAAGGTTGACCAGGAGATGGCCTTGATCATTGCCAGCTGGAGTCAGGATCAACTTGCGTCTGTCCCAAGCCCGTGGAATCACTAGGAAGGTGTGCGGGGGCACCAGTGACAGTCAGGGAGTGGCACAAAGATAGCCCATACCTCTTTTGTGCAGTGTTTGACAGAAATACATTATCTTCTATAAAAATATGCCTGCAGTTAATTGTAACAACATTTTTTAAAATGCTAGCCTACGTATGTCAGCATAGCTACAAAGCTAAAACAATGCTAATTTATGTTTTAAACCCACTAATGAGTTCCAGCCACTGGCATCACGATTAATCTATTACAAGGACAAGACCTTGTTGCACTAGCTACAATCACACACTATTATTTACATTGCGGCTGATGTTTTTGTCTTTTGGGTTTTTTTTTAAGTAGATGGCAGTCCCACTCTTTATGATTTTTTAAATTTAAATCATATTGGGGGCTCTTACAACGCTTATAATGAACCATACATCAATTGTATCACACACATTTGTACATATGTTGCCATCAACATTTTCTTTCTGCTTGAGCCCTTAGTATCAGCTCCTATTTTCCTTCCCTCCCCCTACCCTCCCATCCTTGTGAACCCTTGATAAATTGTGTTAGTCTGGGTAGACTAGAGAAACAAATCATGGACGCACATATGTGAATAAGAAAGAGATTTATATGCAAGAGCAATTCAACATTGAGAAAACATCCCAACCCAGTCCAGTCCAAGGCCATAAGTCTGATATTAGCCCATATG